TACATATTAGTATCCCATAACGCGGTTACTCCTTTAGAGTCTTTGCGTATGGCCTTGGGACACATAGTATCAAGTACTTTGTAATGGATGCGATAAATAACACTTATCACTTCCGATCCAGGTAAGTAATCATATCCATAAGTCTGTACCCTAAGACTAACTGCCTCATGGATATTTTTATCTGTTAAAGATAAATTCAGACTAGGATAAACATCAAAGTAAACCGGTCCATGACATAGACTGGTTTCCAGTGCACCCATCAAAGAAGGGTGAAATTTCAGACATCGAGCATCCCTTAAGGTTGCTTGAATACAGGCATCCATACCTAATAAGGTTAAAGGTTTAAAAGCAATTTGAATTAAACCTATATGGATGTAATTGTATTTATGCATGTGCCTTTGAAGGTCACGGGAAGACAATAACTTAATTATTGTATCCTTGGTGCTTAATTGCATGGTCTGTTCCATGGTCTTAATAGTCCATAGATCAGCTAAATTAAGCATTCCGATTTTGTAAATGCTTTTTGCACTTACTGGAGGGATAGTCCATTTGTTCAATTGATTTTGAACATTGGTCCATTCCACTACTTCAGTATTTTTGACCAGTTCTGAATCCTGGTTGTCCTGTAGTCCTGAAGAGGAGGACGAAGATGGTTGTAACATGGCTGTTAATTATTGTTAATACTTTAAGGTTTGCATAGTATAATTATTATAATATTATATAGTGAACAGTAAGTTACTATTCTGTCGTCGTTCTGCTTAAGAGAGATTCTATTACTCGTCTGTCAACGATTTACTGGAAACAATACCCTATGTAGCAATTTAATGCAAAAACGGGTTAAACATTCCAACGCGACTTTTGGACGACCCATAATTGAATCTGGGATAAACATAATTTGGACAGAATAATAATCATATTGTTCAGTACATAATTACGATAATAATCATGCTACCAGAACCTAAAAAGTATTAACAATAACAAATTTAAGCCAACATGGCTCTGATACCAATAAATATGCCAATATGCAATAAATATGCCAATATGCACTATGGATCGTAAATATGCACTATGGATCGTAAATGGATCGTAAGATTAGAAACAAGAGTACTTACAGAAAACTTTGATTTTCTTCTAGATGAGGATTGCTTTTCCAGTCTCCATTTAAACCTCACTAATCACGCCCTATAGAATTGAGGCACGACAATTTTTGGTTTCAGAGCTTAGGTTGTAGTTTCTAAGGGGTATTTTACTTTTGAGATATCATGCTATGAGATTTAAACTAAATTGGATTCAAATATGCTATGTGACACATGAACTTGCTCTGCGGCTTATGTGCTTACTTGCTAAGTGAATTTGCAACTTGGTTAAGTGAATTTTATAAGGATTTTTATTAATTGTTGCGCAGATTTTCTTCTAGCTGAGATTTGTTGTTCCATTTTTCATTTTTACCTCAATAATCATGCCCTATGGTCTTGGAGCATGACACAAATCATCGGCTCTAATACCACTTGTTGGTGCACAACAGGAGTGGAAGCCGAAGAATCGACAACAATAAAAAAAAAATCCCGAATAGGCAAGTGTGACTAGTTCTAAATAAGTGGAACCGGTTCCACTTCTCAAAATCCCCGTTGTAACATTTCTGTCCATGTGCAACCAGTTCCACTTAAAGTGCAACCAAATCCACTTTGTCATAATGTAATCCACAAACAACAAGAACATATGAAGATGAAACCAAAGCAATAAGGCAACAACAAATTAAGCATAACACAAGATTTACATGGTTCACCCAAACAAGGCTACGTCCATAGATGAGGAAATTCCACTATAATGATGAGGAGATATTACAATTTGTAGAGAATTACCAACACCGGAACAACTTGTTCACACACTCTCACCTAGAGATTTTCCTTGTGTAACTGGTTGCTTGGGTAGAGGTCCAAAAACCCGAGCCTTACACTGTGTATTGCAAGACGCCTTCTTGCTATGAGACACCCTCTCGTCTTCAATTTTTACTCTACCAAACCTAATGCTCTCTACCCATCAACTCAACAATTAAGGCACTCACAATTCTTACACATTTGTCCCTCAATTATATCTCACAAAAACTTCACTCAACTCGTGAGGCTGCCCTTACGGGCTACATATTTCTCTACTCATACGTCTCAATAATACCCTAGGTGCCTATTTATATAGTCCCATACCGAATTCCATAGGGATAAGGATTACAATTTTTTAGAGTTCAAGACATACTGTCTCTATAAAAAATAGAATAATAAAATAACTCTAAAATAGAAATTAATATTTATGGGAATTATGAGCCCCAATTCCTAACAACTCTGTTGCATGAAATTGTAGAGAATTTCAGACGATTGTAAGAAAGTTAGAATTACCACTTTCCTTCCACGTTCTTCAATGCCCCATTAAAGAGGACTTTAACAACAGATAATGGAATAGATGAAGGGAGCAAAGAGAACTCCACAAGTATTCATCAATCCTAAAAATTTATAAAATAATAGATGGAGGGGACAAAAGCCAAGCATCCAATCTCTTATTCCATAAATAGAATTTCAGTACAAGGTTTACAAGTGATGGAATTGTAATCAAACTATAATACTACTCCCATGAAAATACAAAGAAAGTAAAATACTAGAAAAGGAATGAGAAAAACAATTGAAACTTTTATGTAATTTTAAATTCAAACTACCCGTTTGAATTTAAATACAATTGTTGTCTGAATTTGAAACCCCATATATCATGTTTTTGCTTTAGAGGTAAACTTCCATTTGCAAGTTAATAAACTTCTTTATATAACTGATGTAACAACCATGTGGCCAATCAAAAAAAATCATCTACATATAGTTGTAGTCTTTGACTTAAACATCTCCTAATATTGGTAACTTCTCGTGCAACCAAAATTCTTAAAGAACCAATCAGCACTTTCCTTGATCATTCATATTAAGTCACGTATCATGTAACAAATATCATGTGCAACAACAGACAAAACAATTATAGTCATTTTAATTTACGAAATTACTCAACCTGTTGCATCAATTGCCCAATTTTATTCTTGCTAAGTGACCCATGAGCCATGATAACAAAAAATTATTTTTAGGGTGCAAACAATTTCTTAATTTATTGTTGATGCTGCTTTGCTTTACAATTTGTTGCTTCAGAATTTAGAGGCTTTATAAATTGATTTATTTATTTATTTATTTTTGTTGTCATTTTACTAACCACCTCAACTCTGCTTGGGCAAATTAGCTAGTTAAGGTGCTATTCGGATGCTCTATTGTTGTGGAGCAAAATGGTGATGTCAATCAATTAAAAAAAGAAATCTAATTAGCATTAATTTCGGTTTAGAGGTTGCTAGATCTGCCTGGGCTGCTGGAAATTGCTTTTTTTTTTTTCTTTTTAATTTAAGAAATTTGATATTTTCTTAAAATGCTTGTGCATGAAATAGTTGTTGTGATCGAGTACTTATAACATGGATATATAATTTCTATAAAATTTTAATCTACGCATATTGGTAGGTATGTCGCCTCCTCAAAGACGGTTTATGTAGGTGTGGTTGCAAGGGTATATTTAACAATATTCATATAGTTTAATTTTTTTGGTTTTTGGAATGTAAATGCTGTTATGAGTCTCCGAAGTATCAAAATGATACTGTGGCTCAATCAAGATAACATCCCATTACAGACACTGATGAACAACCAAGAGGGCACAATTGAACTTGTGCATCTCAGGCTCCATAGTCATAGATTAAAATTAGGGGTGGCAATTCGTGTTGACAAGTCATAATCGTGCTATGTCAACTTAAGGGTGTTCTACTAAACATATCTTAATCCGAACACGACCCATTTAATAATTGTGTCAAGAATCTTCAACACTAACCCAACCTATTTATTAAACGGGTTACACGTGTAACCCGTTTAATGACCTATTTACTAAAACAAAATGTTATACTATTTAAATTACTAATAATAGTCAATCAAACCATAAGTACTAGAAAAATATAAATTTGAATTCAACCAAATTACTAAATAATCTCTAATTTATTAAACATGTTACACGTATTGAATCATTCAACCTAAACACGATACGATTAACTAAATGGGTTAATTGTATCGACCCGTTTACGACTTGAAATTGTTTAAAGTCAACCCAAACTCACTTAACTCGTGTTGAATCGTGTTGGCGAGTTGTGTCACCCCTAACTAAAACTAAGCAAAATGAGATGTGTCCAAAACCAATACAACATTTTTCTTATTGCAAAAGTGTGTATATAGACTTGGGACATATTGAAAATACTCATATTTAGGGAATGTCAATAATCTTTATATTTCAACTTTCACAAAATAAACACGTCATTGTTCGTCCTCTCCATGTCTTCACCAATTAAATATTTTGTGGTGTTAGTTTCATGTTATATATATTTCTAAAGCAAATTGGTTTAAAAAATATATAAAATTTCAAGATTATATATATAAAATTTCAAGATTATATATATATATATAATCTTGAAATTTTATATATTTTTTAAACCAATTTGCTTTAGAAATTACCTAAATATAATTGTTTACTGAAGTAGTAATTTTTGGGCGATAATACATAATTTTTTTTATTTATTTATCAAAGTAGTGATTTTTTTGACAAGAGTGAATTGGTTGTTATTAAAGCCTAAACAGATGCGATAATGTATGGTGACTTGTATGAAAGAGAGTTAGAGAGAGAAAGGAAAAGATAGATTTTCTTTCCTGTTTTGTTTCTTAGATCAGCAGGAGGGGCAGTTTCGGATTTTTATAAAATAAAAAAAAAATGTGAAAATTGATGATTAGGTAGTAATTCTCAAAAGTTTAATAATGCGGCAATTTATATTTTTTTGGCACTTAACCAAAAAAAAAATTAATCATGTTCAAGTTCTCGGGTTGGATTGGGTCGAGTTAGATCGGACCCACCCAGTTTCTTAAACCCGTCCTTCTTCTTGTTCTCACCCACAAACAAAAAAAACCCACGCACCATCTAGGGTTTTATCGTCTTTGTCTAACTCTTACTCTCTCTCTAGAAGACCAAAAAATCTTAACTAGTCGGCCATAGTTCATTCCTCGGAAGAATTTAGGGTTTTGTTTGTTCAAGAGACGAATTGCAAGAAAATGTCAGATTTCTTACCTCTTGATGTGGTGATCGATATCCTCACTAGACTACCGGTCAAAACCCTCATCCGGTGTTCTTGTGTCTGCAAATCATTGTATTCCTTGGTCACAAACCCTAGTTTCATCACCAAACACCTCAACGCAAACAACAACAACAACAACAACAACCTTCTACTAATTCGAAGGTGCTCTAGTGACCGTGATGAAGATGAGTATGACGCCGATGCCGAAGAGCACTACTCGGTACTACGTTGCGAAAACAAAATCTTATGTGATTATGCAGAGTTTGAGCTCCCAGTTTATAGCTTTGACAACAATTATTTCAGAATAGTGGGTAGCTGCAATGGGGTTGTATGCCTTTCCAATGATTTGGTCTTTTACAGGAACCATATTTACCTATGGAACCCGTCCATTCAAAAGACGATGGCCCTTCCGCGCCCTCGTATCACATTTGGTAAACACGGTTGTCATATGCATAGCATTGGATTTGGCTTCGATTCCGTGACCGATGACTACAAGGTTGTCAGGATTGTGTATCTGCTGAAAGTACTCGATGGTTATGTAACTCCTCCGGAGGTTGACATTTTCAGTCTGAGCACAGGCAGATGGCGGAACATCAGCCATTTAGGTCTTAAACATCTCATCCGCGAGTTGGCTCCCCAGGCTTTTCTGAATGGGGCTGCACATTGGCTTGCTGACAATGGGTCAGAAAAGAGCCACTTGATCGTGTCATTCCACATGGGTGATGAGGTATTTGGAGAAATCAAGGTGCCCGATGGCGCAGTTAATACCCGCTGGACGCTAGGGGACCGTGTTGATAAGTTTCAAGAATCACTTTCTCTGATCCATATGGAGGATACTGGTGACAAATTTGTTTGTTGCATATGGGTGATGAAGGAGTATGGCATGCCAGAGTCTTGGACTCGACTGTTTAATATTAATTTAAGTGGAGTATTAGGCAAGCGCGTAGCTGGCTTTACTAGGAATGGTCAAGTTCTATTTGGGAAAAAATCTGGGCATCTCTTGGTTTATGATCCCGAAGCCAAAAAAGTAAGGCATATTCATTTTCGTGGATCAACAGATTCATGGGATATGGACTCATTTTATGCTGATGTTTATACTGAGAGCGTAGTTTTAGTCACTTGTAAGCAGTCACCTGATTTGCTTGAAGAAACAAGAGAGGAAAAACAATGCGGAGAAAACAGTGAAAACATTTTTGATTTGGCTTTCTTGTATACTCTCCAGGCATTGGAGAAAAAAATGAAAATAGGAGCAAAACCAAACAAGAAAGGGAAAGAAGAGGCAAGATGCATGTCTTTACTTACTTTTACCTCTTATATTTGCTTTTGCTATTGCTATTGCTATTGCTTTTGCTAAGTTCTGTTATTGCTTAACTTACAATTACTGTTTGATATTCATCTTTTGAGGAGTTACAATTATTGTTGATGTTGATATCTTTTTGTGCCTGATGTGCAAAGAATTCTTTCAGGGGTGGAAAATCAAATTGAGGAAGCCATTCAAGGTGAAGAACTGTTGAAAGACTGGAAGTGGTATAGTGAACTCTTTCCCTGTTTTTTCTGTTACTTTTACTTCGTGGGTGGTACATAATGGTGGAGAACTGTTGAAAGAGTGGAAGTGGTATGTTTATGTAGTTGGAGGACAATATTTAACTCTTACATGATGCTTTTGAACTTTTAGAGCATTTGGGCTTGATATGGCTGTAGATGTTCTGCAGAAAGTATATGTTATCCATTATTAATCCTTATCTGTTGGTGCCACTTTATCTTCTAAATTTTGTTTTGGGTATGAACCATATTATATTATATGAATTAAATTGTCAAGAGCAGCTTCTTTAGGTAGTCGCCGAATGTTGTGCCAAGCATTTAGAAGTCACTAGCTGGTGATATTTTGTAGGAAATCATAGAGTTTTCCTTTTTGCTCAGATTATGCTAGCCAAGGTTAAGGTTGGCTTGTTTCACTTGCTAGCCAATCTCAAGTTCAAACTTGAGCGATGCTAAATAGTAATAAATCTTTTTTTTTTACTTTAAATATTCTCAAATAAGTTGTCCAATTCTTATAGTTTATTTAGTGCAACATGATATTGAAAACTTCTAAAATAATGAATTCAATGCAGTTAATATTGTAATAAATTAACTAATAATATATGTAAATGAATATTATCTCTATTTTTCTGATCAGTTTCTTGACACCTCACAACCCTTCACTCTATTATATTTATGTGTGTGTTTTATATATGCATGAACAAGAATAGTTTAGTTATTTCTTTATGTATGTTCTGTTTTTAGTGCTTAGATAATTTTTAGATAGCTGCGCGCATAACCAGTCCATGCACATACATATGCATGAATTGAATCAGCTAGTACAAATTAATATGTGGTACCAAAGAAATTAAACCTTCCCAAATTCATCTTATTTTTCGGTACAATACTAAAAATTAAATGTGTTATAATATGTAGTTTGAATGCTGTGGTCGAGACCATTATGGTGTCAGGTATGGCTGTTTGGTTTGTCAGAAAAATAAACAGCAGAGAAAAACAGAATCCAATGGAAGACTCGTGGGGCTGGTGATCGTATTATCTCAAGTAATTAATTAGGATCTATTTACACTTCTCGTGAATTCATTTTTCCCATAAAAATAATATTGATTATCCGTTTATCAACATGTTTGTGAGTTTAATGAGTAAAGCAAGGTTTTTTCAAGTTTGTCTCTCTTACTTAATGAGGTTGAAAATGTTGATTAAAATGGAAGGAGCTCGTTTGTAGCTGAGCTTGACTTGTACATGAATTAGTCAATCGTTTGACCCCTACTTATGGGTCATGTGCTACTAACATAGTATAATTAGCATCTCTAATTGGTGAAAAGACTAACCTCTAGATAGTAAATTATTTAACTTCAATGATATTCCAAGACCAGTGATATTCACCCCTCATTTTTCTGCACTTCCTTTGACTTGATGGGATGAGACTACAACACAATGTATGGCCTTTATGCCACTCATTACCATGTTTAAGTTTCAACCTTTTCTAATTGTAGCTCTAGTTTTTACATTACTCTTATACCCTATTATTGGAAATCAAAACTTTAGAGGAGATCAGAAATGAATTTGGCTGTTATAAATATCCCATGAATTTGTTCTATTCTCTTTGGAGTACTGAGTTGATTCTCTTTTATTTGGAAAAATAGAGTCAAATTTTTTTTATTCTTGGGGCATGTAGCCATGGTTGCTTGGTTTTTGCTAACTTATCGAGGAAATAACATTGAATGATCAGTCTGGGCAGGTTCTTTTTATTGTGATGATTTGTTTAATATCCTCTATTGGCTGCATAAAAGTTTGTTGATAATATAATTCAACCGTCTCAATTTCAAGAATAAAAATCAATTAGGGTTTTCATGTCTGTGTGAAGCCCACTTCTAGAGCTGCTCATACCTTTTGTGGTCTTGTTCTTCTAATTTGAGCTCAAAAAACTTGATTGATAGATGCAATATGAGTGTTTTTTTAGCTTTTTTTTGGCCTTTTCTCTTTCTGACGCAGGGGCAATCGAAGTGTAGAAACAATTAGGAAGAGAACTAAAGAACAGAATTAGAATAGAATAGATAGAAACAGAGGTGAGATACAGAAGAACAAGACCACAATTTTGCTAGAGAAGTGCAGAAAAATGAGGTTAAACCTCCCTGGTTGCTAGCTTGTATATTTTTTCTTGCCCTAATTTTGTTGTACATGTTGTCATACATCTTTTATTGTGTCATTTTACATTTATTACCAACTACGAAGTTTTTCTTCTTACTTTTATAAAGTTGAAATTTAGTTCCTGTAATTGGCTGGTTATACCTTCTTTAGTTGGATAAATTTGGTTTCTGGTGTTGTTACGTTGATGTTCTAGGTCCTAGTAAATGGTTAATATTTGGTTTATAATTGTGTAATGATGGTGTACTAGGTTTTGAAAACCTTCTAGAAAATTCCATGTCTTCTTGTATTTGGGAACAGAGTTTTAGGGTATTGGAAACCAATCCCTCAGCCTCGACATTTTAGAAGACCAGATGGATCGTGAAATCCCATAGTTTGTTTTCTCTTCTTTCTTGTCCTAGGATTGATGATTTTTCTGTTTGGAGTTTCCATTTGGTTAAAGTTGTAAAATGTTTTGTATGTGTATAATGGGAAAAGATCCTTTCCTTGAGAATCTCTCTGCTCGATTATCCAGGACTCAATCTTACAGTGCAGATTCAACCACATGATCCTGTTAAGTGAAACGTCTTATTGAATTTGAAATTGCATGTTGTGAAGTTGAATAAGAGGATGACGTGGTCGAATCAGCCAATCAGGACCATTGGATTAAGCCATGCGTAAAGCTTTTGTAAGAAGGATCCTTTCCCGAGTGTAATGGGACCCTGTACCACCAAGATTAATTGAGATCCTCAACTAATAGCAGAACCAAGATTGAGAACCTCAACCAGAACACTCCAACATTCATGTAGGAGAGGAGCATTAAGGCTGCAAGTATGCAGTAAGCCCTACGAAGCTGCCAGAGCACCTTGCAAGAATGCCATGGAAAACTACATTGTGAAAAACCAGTCTTTGTCTGCTCAATTGGAGAATTGTAATTGCCAAGTTTCACTTATTTGGAGACATTTATGCTCATGTACATTAACTGTTGATTAAATGTTTGTATGGTCTAATTTTTGAGGAATTTGATGTAATATGAGGATTTTGGATTGGTTATGTTGTATTTTGATCATTTATGGACTCTTTGAGGCTGTTGTTTATGTTTTTTGTGGTTTTGTATCATGAATTTGGGAATAGCATGGAATTGGGTAGTTGCTGGAAATTGTGACAGGCCAAAATGGAACGGTATATATTTCTGAACATGGTAGAAAATTATTTTGAGGTTATTCTGTGATCAGTTATTTTAGGATGTCGGCATTTTTGTTTTAAGTTTGATGATATTTGTATAGACTTGCTAGTATTATCAAGAAACAGGTCATATTAAAGATATTATTAACTCAAATAACAAGACAAAAAATGTCTATGATATACTGAAAGGAAAAAAGAAAAAAAAGGAAGCATGAAAAATAAAAAAAATAAATTAACACCACTTACATTGCATCTTTCATGCAAAAAAGGAAGCTGACTAATTATTGATTTCATCAAAATGCATCACATTTTGAGCCCAATGGTTGAAACTTAAACATGGTAATAAGGGGCATGAAAATGTAGTCTCATCCCCACAAAGTCAAAGGAAAAACATAACAATGACGGGAACAAGACTGCACTTGGAACAACATTCAAGTTAATTAATTTTGTATCATGTCAGATATCTAGACGATTGTCTTTTCAACAATCCGAGGTGCTAGCGTTGACGGCCAATTCATGAACAACTCAGGCTCAATTACATGAGCTCTAACAGTTTTAATTAGTACAGTACATCAACATAATTTAATCAACAGTTTCAATCTCATTTAATAAGCAAGCCAAATTTGAATAAACATTGCTTGACTTGTTCAACCAACAAATTGTTGAGATTTATATGCCTTGGCATAGCAAATTTCTGTTTGGATTAAAGTGACATATGTTCCTAAAGTTTCTGAAATATTTATATTTTATACAATTGGTGAATTCAATTTATTATGTTTCGATTCATTATAGAATTGATAGTGTCCATTCGATTACAAGAGATATTTATATATATGTATGTGATGGCAATTAATGCATGATATATAAATAGTAATCATAAATGGTTCATAGTCGGTAATTATGAATGGACTCATAATTAATTAAGATTTGAACTGGATCCGCGTTAGGTTGAGATATATTGCGAGAGCCGTCGTATGCAATTGCTCCCTATCACTGTCATGGCATTTGACTCTTAAGCATGAGAAAAGTATAAACTCTTTTATTAATTAATAATTACTTTGATTTGTTCGGCGGATTCTTCGGGATCCTTAGACCGACACTTTGGGTAGTTATGTAATTAATAGTTAGAGGGTTATATTTTCAATATTTGCATCATTGCTACTTGTATTTATTTTGTATTGATTATGGCTGATCACAAAGTAAATTCGAAGGCCTTCGTGTGTTTTTAGACAAAATAATTTATTATATATTTATTTATTTAAATTATTATTTTTGTCGAACAAATATTTTATTGTGATCGAGCCGTAAATAATCAAAGGTACCAAAATAAATATATTAATTAAGTAATCGGATTAATGGCTTTATTTATCCGATAATTAATTATGCATAGAGGGGTCAAAATGCAATATTGACTTAGAGGTTAGTTATTATTTAATTGGAGTTCAATTAATTTCTTTTAGTGGAGTAGAAATTAATTTATGAATTAATTGAATTGGGTCCATGGACCGGGCCAATTATTAATTCATTGTAGCCAATAAACTAATAGGCCAAATGGATTCTCACTCATAGCCCAACTTGATATTGGAATCATATTAGATTTGAGACATGTGAATCAGAGATTGAGAAAGATTTGGTGTTTCTTTTTCTTTATCTTTATGTCGCCTATAAATATACATGGTCGATGTGTATTTTAAGGGTGATTTTGATGAGAAGGAAAAATGAATATATATTCTCTCTTTAGAAAATTAGGGTTTATGTTCTCATCTAATGGAGGTTCCCACAAGCCTATTTTTTCAAGGTCATTCATGGAGGTATATGAGTGATTCCTAAAGGCAAAACAATTACCAAAAAGATGGAGATCCAAGGAGAAGGCATCTTGTTAAAGAATCTACAATAAGTGAGAACATTCACTTTAGAGAAAAGTTTTAAAGGTTTACTCAGACCTTTGATGTAAGTATTCAATCTGTTAATTGAATGATACATCATGTTTTATTTTTGTATAAAACTTGTCTCTATGTGATGAATCAAGATTTATGAATTAAAAATCCCTCAAAAAGTTTTTAAAACTTGCACGTTTCCCAACACAAACATATTTGTAAACTCATTAAGACTAGTAAACATGGCTCATTTATTGAGCTCAATGTTTGAACTAATTGGTTAGAAAGCAAAATAAACCAACTTTAACCTATGTTAGTCTTACAAGTGGGACTTGTTTCGCATCAGATCCGGATGAGAATTGAAAGGTATATAAATTAGTGGGTATGTAGGACTACCCAACAACTTGATCTTTTAGATAAATGAATTATTCATAACAAGTAAAATCTTTTTTGGTAGACTGAAATTTTCAGATTTTTTTGCACTTCATATATGAGCTAGAGCTAAGATCTCGTCTAAAGTTTTGCCTTTCAATAGGGTAGAGTAATGTATAACTAGAGTAGACAAAAAGAAATGGTTGAATCTTGTACATGGTAATAATTGGTATAAAAGGCCATACATTGTGTTGTAGTTTTATCCGGTCAAGTCAAAGGGTGAACGGCACTGCTCTCGGAATATAATTCAAGTTAATTACTGCCTCCGTGTCAATTTAGGTGTCACTTGCATTACCTATTTAAAAAATTATTAAATTATTTTTTTAATTTTTAAATATTTAAATTTAAAATTTTAAACTTAAAAAACATATACAAAAGATGTGAAACATAATGTTTAAAAAAAGAAAGTGAACTAATATTTTATGACAAAAAAAAAAAAGTATTAACAATTATTTTGAAAATGGGGAAGTAATTTACTATTATGTCAGATATCTTGATGATAGTTTTGTCACCTATTAGTGATGCTACTCCTTCTATGGCACCATGGCCCACAATACGGGTCAAACGATTGACCAAGTCATGCTCTATCCATTTTAGCTAACGCAGCGTACCTGCATAATATAATCAAATATTTTCAACCTTATAAAATAAGCAAGTCAAACTTGAATAAACCTTTCTTGACTTATTAAACTCACAATCATTTTTTTTTTTTTTTTTTTTTTTTTTTAGGTCAAAGGCAAAAACAACTACAACACAAGGAACTAAAAGAACCACAACCCACTAAGATCCCCCCTTGCCACCACAAAAGGAACGACAGAAGGAGGAACAAAAGACAACCACATATCCGACACAACCCTAGTTCGCGAAAGAGCGGTCAAAGCATGAGCTATCCGATTACCCTGACGACGCACATGAGTCAACTGAATAGATGAAAACCGTCTCAAGTCCCAAGCAATATCAAAACAAATAGAAGCAATTTCGGACGAGCAAGACAGCTGACATAACACCCCATCCACCACAACTTTAGCATCGGATTCAAACCATAAGGAAGAGAAACGCAAATCTATAGCGCAAAGAATCGCACGCTGACAGACCAACGCTTCCGCCTCTAAAGCTGAAGCAGGGACAAAAAATAACTGCACGAAGCACTGCACCCTGAAATCCCGAAAAACAGCAGCGCCACCCCCTTGCGAAGACTGCCGACAAAAAACCGCATCAAAATTACACTTAACAAAACCCGATGGAGGGGGACTCCACGACTCCACCAACTCACCAGCCAGCCATGGTTGCACTGAAAAGAGCAGAGCGAACGAGTATCATGAAACTCCCAAAAACTAACAACAGCCTTTTGCACCACAACCTCAGGCCATCATAAAACCCCCTCAAAGACCAACCGATTTCGGGCCTTCCAAATACCCGACACAAAAGGAAATCAGGCTAATAACATTCGCAAATCCGAGGAGACCATAGCCTTATGCACCAAAAAAAATGCCAGCCCAGAAGAAAAAAACAAATCAAAAATATCAGAGCGTAATGGAAATAACTCACAATCATGTTTGATTTACTGCAATATATTATCTGTGACTTCTATAAGTTTGGCACGACTATCAACAAGTGGCTGATACCCCAAAAACAAACTTTAGACGATACAACATCTAAAGAAAAGCAATAAACGATAAAAAAAAAATTATGACCCCTTTCATTCTTTTTAAGTTTTAAATTTTTATGAATCCTAATAATATATTTTTAAAGAATAATAAATACCAAAAAAAACTTGTAAACGAGTACAATTGAAGTTTCAATCCAATCCAATCCAATCGCCCGCTTAGCCAACAGTCTCCTTCGTTCTTTCCTTGGATTAGGTAAAGCCCATGTTTTCGCACAAAATCTATGCTTCTTTGTACCTTACATCAAACTGTGTTGGACAACTAACATATTTTTCTAAATAATTGTAATTATTATTTATTCCAATTAGATCTGTTGAATTGTTGTGTACACTGTACACATTGTTATTGTATAATCAGCATTTTTATACATTCCCTTCATAAGATAAACATATATATATATATATATATTTATTTATTTATTTATTAAAAACCACAATAAATTTAAAAACAAAAAAATAAAAAATAAATAAATTGATATAGGAAAACATAAATTGAGAAGAGGCCTAAGAGATCTTGGTGGATAAAAAATCATCAGATGGATTCAGGAGTAACCCAATCAAGAGTAGCAAATATCAATATCACATCACCGGCCACAAATATATATATTTTTTCTTTCAATTTTAAATCCATAACCAAATAATTTATTTATTTAACTAAAAAAACATAAACTATATAATCAATACATACATACATACATACATACATATATATAGATATGAGACTGAGGAGATTGAAGATCCATGATGAGTCAGAAGTAGCTGGTTGTAAGATCATGGTAAATCATTGGGAATCCGAATGATTTTTTTCATCATCCATCATCATGACTCTACTAATCACCTTTAAAACTAATAAAATAAAAAGAAATTCAAACTCAAAAACACAAATATATATATATATATATATATATATATATATATAAATAGATGTATATATAGTTATACGATAGATCCCTTCATCCACTCAGATTCTTGGCATTCAATCAAGGAATTGCAATATTAGACATGCGCTTATAGATCTATATATATAAATCGCAAATCATACGAATTAAAACACAGAGATTCAGAAGAAGACTGAAGACATCGAATTCAAACATGGAATAGAGAATGAAACCCTAGAGCCTCACCTATTATCAGGTGTTAACACTCCCTGCAACTCTCTAAGTCTCAATTAACTTTGATGCAGGTATGTGTATTCTGTTGATACTTATAGAGATAGAAAGAAAGGCGTCTACGAAACCCTACAGCGATGGTTATGCTTTATGCGGCGGAGTCGATTAGGGTTAAAATAAGCACAGGCTGGTGTCTTAAGAGAAAATTAATGCTAATTATATTTCATTTTTGCTTGGTTGATATCACCATTTAGCTCCAATACACTAAAGCACCCAAATAGAACCTTAACTAGCCATTTGAATTTTAAATTGTAAGCCATGCATCATAAACTACTTGATGTGGTTTACCCTATTATCAGCTAGATACAAGTTGATCCATTTTTAACTTTTTTAAAAATTGAATCCAAACAACCTCTTTAAAAAGTAGGAAAAGTTGAGATTGTCTTTTAATATTTTATTAATTTTTGAGTAAAGTATATTAACACTCCCAATATTTTACAAAACGATACACAAATAAAATTTAACCTATTTTGGGACAATGACACTGCATCAAGTTTCATACAGTTACCAAAGACACCCCAATGATAATGAATTAACATTTTTGCCCTTTGACTTTTATATTATCCCATTTAAATGTTGAAATTACCTTTCTAACTTTAGTAACCCATTTCTTTCCTTTTCTCTTCTCCCCCTTCTCTCTTCCTTCATCCTTCCATTTTTTTTTTTTTAATACACACACGATTGGCTGTGGGATGAAAATATGCAACTTAAAATGAAGAGATCGATCATCTATATAATAAAGAAAAGGTGCATGGTGTGTATGGGAAAGTTATAGTAGTTGACTTTTAATGAATAAAATTACCGGTTAACTTTCATTATCGGTAAGTTCATCACAAATCAATGGTGCATGAATTTAGTTGCAGAGTTAGCTTTTGAAGATGCTCCAATTTAACCAGTAGATGACGAAAAGTAGGTGGTACCAGGCAAACGGTATTTTCTGCAGATAAATTGGAGGGAAGATGCAAGGACTGGGATTTACAACTCTTAGTTCTCTATTCATCCAGGTGGAGATACGATGAATCATGATATGGAGTAGATGTTTGGTGGGTAGGCAGAAAGAGGGACACAGTTAATTTTGTCTCCAAGTCTTTTTTTTTTTTTTTTTAGATAGTTGAGATTGACCATCAGAGATCACCAAATCCTTACAGCCATTCCCTATATCGAAGTGGAAATGAGAGAGCATTTTTCACGGATTTAGTTAAGGGATTGCTGACTTTACGCAAAGGTCAGGATTCTGGTTTGGATATTGGTTCATGGATAAATTAAATCAGCTTAATTCTTATCTCTTTTGAACTAGTGGGACATCAGTTCATAAGAATAGAACGGATCATGAGACGACTTAGATGGATAGAAGTGGTGATTCACGCTTTGTATCAAGTTCTGTCTAGTGGAAGCGGATATGGAAGTGGATGCTCTCAACAACCGATATGGTATTTAAATCTTTCAGTTAGTTGTTGAGTTATCAGTTGAATTTGTAGTATGTGTAATAATAACACTTATTATTACCAAGGTAATTAAGAAGGTCAACTTAGAATATCAGAGCTGACCCTGGAGGAGGTGTTACCTTACTCAGATAGAGCTTAAGGTACTGGAGGAGGATTCATAGATTCTGTAAATGATATTACGGAGGTTGGAGTGACTGAGCTAAAAATTTCGTAAATTTTTCTTAGTGCACTCAGATGGGTATATGTTACATCAAGACATCCAATGTTAATTTTGAGGAACAGGTACGGATAGGGACGAGTACATAACTGTCTCTCAGTGAAACACCTATTAGAAAGGTGAAAGATTGATAACCGGATATCATTGGTGATTTTTGCACTTCCTATATCAAAATGGGAGTAAGATTCATTAGGAGTGGATGATCAGTAGGAATTATCGACATTGCATTGGTATTTTGATTTCCATATGGGTTATGAGTGATAGATTTAATAAGTTCGCATATGGACATTAACTAGAGTAATGTTCACTTTAGAGCTTCATATCAGTTCTACATTGCACTGATAGTGGAGTTATAGCATGTGGATGTCCATTATAGTGGAGGAAAAGTTCTATTTAGTAGGAGCTTTCTGAAGATTTTGGAGCAGCATGTTTGCTTCATATCTTTAGACGGAGGAATTGATCGAGAAATTTAAATTAGATCGTGAAGGATATGCTTGAGGCATATATCCTAAGTTTTCGTGGACAATTGGAAGTATTTAACGTTGTTTTTCATAATTTTGTCTATGATGTTGTTGGCACAAGGAGGTTAGTGTGACAACGTTTGAGATTTTGTATATTATATAGTGCATACCTCTCACATGTTGGTCTAAAATGGAAGCAATGGTTGTATAATCAAACCTTGACTTCTTTTAAGGATACGTCGGAGAGAAATACTCTCCTTTGTAATGATTGCGCGCGGTTTTGAGGCAGCAACGGATTTTCGTAAAAAGTCAAACTCGTACACAAGAGTTTCATATCGGGAAACAATTTGTTTGTGAAGACTTCCCGGTGGGAAGCAATGCGATTTCAGAGGAGGGTCAATTTTTACTTTTATATATATATATATATATATATATATATATTGACTTGTCACGGATTTGTTTATTAATTAAGGCAGTAGCCTATAGATTAGCGCTACCAACTTGTTAGCGCTGGATGCGTAGGAATTTTGTGCGTATCTCCTATGGAATTTGGAGGAATAGGGATTGTTACCCTTCGCTAAATATTGGGTAAGATTGATTCATTGTTAGATACAACCTAGGAGTTGTACATTTATTGTATTTCTTAAATAGAGGAACCATGTAAGTGCTTGGATGCATTAGAATTCAGTGGAACCCATACACTGAGGCTGAGTTCACATGAAAACGGACATGAATTTAAAAGAAAATGATTCAGAGTTTTCATGAATTCCGAGCACGGAATTTCTTTTGTTAGGGGGGAAGAATGTAATACCCCTAGTTTTCAAAAGGATTGTAATAACCCGGTTATTTTCATCCCTTTCCTTTTTCTCAAAATTTACGGATAATTTTTTTCCGTTTAATTTTCTTTTCCGAGTTCTGTTTCTCGTCGCTAGATGTCGTCTCGAGTGCTTGGAAATGGTTTCTGAGACTCTTTCATTTGAATTGACAACTTCCTTTAAGGACCGAGTCATTTTCACATTTTTGTTTTTCGATACTATTCACTTTTCGTCTTTTTTCCGTATGCCACTTTGTTGGCACAACCTCATTTTTCGTGTTCAGATTTGATCCCGATTTTACATGCATCCATGATATTTAAATTCCATGCCATGTGTATTTTTACTTTCCTAGAAATGCATGCCATTTGTGCTCTTTCTTCCTTAGGGGTGTGGACGCACACTTTCTTTAGAAACTTCTTGTTTTGGGGGTTACTTGTGTAATTACTTAAAGTAATAATTTTTCGTCTTAAGGACCATTTTTACAATTTAATTTAGAAGATATTTTCAAAAATGACCTTTTTGCAATTTCCGGAAAGTGTGACAAGTGTCACACTCTCATTAGTCCACTTGTTGACATTTGTGTGGAGACACTTAGATACCTTGGATGATGATATGTGGAGGGTGGAGATTCAACTACTTGTTAGCCTAAGATTGGTGCACTTGTTGGCTTTGATTTGTGACAAGTGTAGGCTTGAGATTCAGCCTAGGAAGGAGTCTTGGATTTGTGACAAGTTTAGGCTTATAATTTAGTCTTGCAATTATTTTTGGACCACTTTGGGATTATAGTTTTAAAGAAGAGTTTTTGTACAATTAACCAAGACTTGTGTGTGTTGACCATGGTGTAAGATCACATAGTGAGTGGAGGATTTCTAATTCCTTCACTCACACTTCATCTTATTGTTTCATTTCATTCCTTACTAAAAACCCTAGCCACCATTAGAGAAGCTTGATGCTTAAACTTTGACCTTGATTTTTGAGAGCCTTCCATTAATTTCCAAGCTTAACCTTGGGAATACTTTTTGTTCCCCTTATCCTCCTCTACATAACCCTTGAAGGGTTTGCCATTTTGTATTGATTTGCCTTGGATTCAAGAGGAACATCCTCTTGTGAGGTAGGGGGTGTTATAATTTATTTTCCACGTGATTTTACTTGTTTTTGTATGAAATACAAGTTGTATGCATGTCTCTTGTTGATTTGAGAAAATAATGATGTATCATAACTTGCATAGAACTCATTTTTGACTTGATATATGGTATGGTCTTGACTTGATCTTTGTTATATAATTATTTGGAGCCATTTGAATGAGTTTTCAAATCTAGAGACTTAATGAATTTAATTTGATTTAAATTCTAGTTAATTGTATCTTGCTTGTATCCCATTTTTGACTTGATATATGGCATGGTCATGACTTAATCCTTGTTATATATTTATTTGAGATCATTTGAACAAATTTTGAAATCTAGAGATTTATTTAATTTTAATTAATTAAATTCCACGTGATTATATCTTACTCACCTTGTGAAATTGATATGATAATTGCAATCACCATGGAATGGACATTCACATATATTATCTTGAGAATTTTTGGACAACTTTGATTTTTAGAGAAATTAATCAATTAGGTTAATTAATTTCTACTTAGTGTTCTAATGATTTGGACATCTATTTCATAAGGCTTTTACCTTTTTATCATGTATCTTGACTTGTTGCAAC